AAGCCGCTCGAGGCCGGGGCGCCTTCCCCCTCGGCCTCGCTCTGGCCCCCGGCCCCGCAAACAGCAGGCGCTTACTCGATGCCCGCTCCCCGCCGGCCTCGCTCTCCCCACGCTCGGCGCCCGCCGCCGGCACGGCGCCCCCGGCCTCCGCCCAGCCCCGCCTCCCCCCCGGCCCCCGTCGCCGTCCGCGGGCCCGGCCTCGCCCCACGCCGTCCCTCTCCGGCCCGCTCCGGCCGGTCTCGCCGGCGCTCACCTCGGCCTCGTCCCACACGGACGCCATCTTCTCCTGCCGAGTCACTGGGCCCGCACTTCCGGCCGCACATTCGCCACTCGGCCGCGGGATTCCGTGGGGCGGGGATAAATGCCCAGAGCCGAGCCCCTCCCAGCGCCGCCCAGCCCGGCCTCCTGCCCCGCGGCCCGGGCGGCATCGGCGGCCCGCTTTAATAAGCCGACGCTCCGGGCAGACGGCTCCGGCGAATCTGCGGAGCACTTTGGGGAAGGGTTGGGGGCGGTGAAAAGGAAGCCGCGGGGAGCGGGCCGCTGGTCACGTGGCACTGCTCCCGCCTTCGCCCTGCTCGTGCTTCCGGGAAGGGGCGGGATCCCGACCGTCATTGGCTCCGACGGCGGCCCGTCAGGGTTGAAACCGGCTACGCTGCCTCGCGGCCTGTAGGGATTCGTAGTTCTCGGGAAGCACAAGGGGGCAGGCCCTCAAGGAGGCGGGCTGGAGGAGGTGGAGCCTGACAAAGGCCACGACCCCGTGCTGTCCCGCCTTGGCTTGACGGGCACCTACCTCAGGTGTGCAAGCGCGGGCCTCCAGAACCGAGGGCCATCGTTCCCATTTCACAGATGTGGAGCCTGAGGCGCAGAGAAGCCTGGGATGGAACCTAGGGCCCTCCTGAGTCCGAAGCCTACATAAGGAGCCGGAGAAGATTCAGGAGCTGCCGGGACTGAGGGATGGCACGGTGTTCTAAGCACGGCAGGGTGCACCAGTCACCCAGTAAACGTTGTTTAAGTGCCTAATGTATACCAGGCACTGTGCCAAGCGCTGCACACACAGGGGGAGGCAAGACCAGCTTCTGCCCTAGAGAAGCCCCCAGTCGGTTGGAGGCGGCATCAAGCAAACACACAGTATGCACAAAGCAAGCTATATTCAGGACAAAGCAGCAACAAACATTAAGCACCTACTGTATGCCACGTAAGCTTGAGGATACAGAAAGAGGCAAAAGCCAGTCCCTGCCCCCAAGGAGCTTCCATTCAAACAGACAACATGCAAACAACTAGACAGAAGCAAGCTCCTTGCAGGATAAATAGGAAAGCATTAAGAGAGCAGAGGCATTAGAATGAAGGAGGTTTGGGAAAGGCTTCCTGTAAAAGATGGGATTTTCCTTGGGATTAAGGGAAGCCATTAGGTGAAGAGGATCAGGGAGAGCCAGAGAAAATGCTCAGAGCCGAGAAGTGAAGCAGCAGCAGCAGCCAGGAGGCCGAGGGAAGGTGCAAGAAGACTGGATAGGGAGGAGGGGGCTGGGCTGTGAGGGGCTTCGAATGCCAAACTGAGCATTTTGTGTTTGATCCTAGAGGAGTCAGGGAGCCCACTGGAGTTTATTGAGGAAGGAGGTGACATGATCTGACCTGCGTTGGAGGAAAATCCCTTTGACAGCTAAACGGAGGATGGATTGGAGTAGGGAGAGACCCGAGGCAGGCAGAGCCACCGGCAGATTGTGGTAGTCCAAGCTCGAGGGCGTAAGCCTCAGTGCAGCGGGTGGCGGTGTCACATGAGAGGTGCTGCAGAGGCGAGACTCATGGGCCTTGGTACCAGCTGAGATGGGGGTGGGAGGGTGAGGTGCCGAGCTCCGGGCCTGGCTTTCCACAGGCCCCGCAAAGGGCTCTCTCACCCTCTCCCATCATTGAACAGACAATGAGCTGCTGCTTTTTTCTTGAGGCCTCTTCCCTTATCATTCCCTGACATTGGGAAGAGTTGGGCAGGGCCTCACAAGGAGAATGCAAACAGGTTTCTATCTAGGGCTGGTCTTTTTTATACAATTTTGAGTTCCAAGTTTTCTCTCTCTCACTCCCTCCCCTCCGTGTCTCCCTAAGACAGGAAGCACTTTGTTTTTGGTTTTTGGGGTTTTTTTTAAAGGCAACTGGGGTTAAGTGACTTGCCCAGGGTCACACGGCTAGTAAGTGTCAAGTGTTTGGTCTGAGGTCACATTTGAACTCAGGTCCTCCTGACTTCAGGGCCGGTGCTCTATCCATTGCGCCACCTAGCTGCCCCCCGACAGGAAGCACTTTGAAAGAAGTTATATATGTGCAATCATGCAAAACCTACTTCCACATCAGTCATCTTTTAAAAGAAGAAACAGTTTGCAAAAAAAATTAGTTTGCAAAAGGAAAATACCACAAAAAAAAGGTGAAAATAGCATGCTTTGATCTACATTCAGAATCCATAGTTCTTTCTCTGGATGTGGATGACATTTTTCATTTGGGAATTGTCTTGGATCATTGCTGAGAGTAGTGAAATCATTCACAGCTGATTATTGTACAGTGTTCTGGTCCCGCTCACTTCACTCAGCAACAGTTCATGTAAGTCTTTCCAGGTTTTTCTGAAGTCTGCCTGCTCATCATTTTTTAAAATTAATTTATTTTGATTTATCCACAATCACCTCCATAAGCTTTTGAGTTTTAAATTTTTCTCTCCCTCCCTCCCCACCTCCCTTTCCAAGAAGACACGCAATCTGATGTAGGCTCGACATATACATTGCTATTAAACATATTTTCACATCAGTCATGTTGTAAAGAAGAATTAGAACTAATAGGAGGAACCACAAGAAAGAGGAAACAAAACAAAGCAGAAGAAAAAAAGAGCAAATAGTATCCTTTGATTTGCATTCAAACTCCACAGTTTTCTCTGGATGTGGATGGCATTTTCCATCATGAGCCTTTTGGAGATGTCTTAGATCCTCGCATTGCTGAGAAGGGCCAAGTCTGTCAAAGTTAGTCATCGCATGGTGTGGCTGTTACTGTGTACAACATTCTCCTGGTTCTGGCCACTTCACTCAGCATCAGTCCATACAAGTCTTGCCAGGTTTTTCTGAAGTCCTCCTGATGAGGATGGGATCTAGACCCCCAAAAGGAAAAACCCCGGACTTTCCCACATGGCCAAATCTCAGGAGTTCACCAGAGGCTGTAATCAACTGGCCTTTCATGGTGGCTACACCCAATCTCCCAATTCCGTTACCTTTAACCTAGCCTAGCCCTCCATTGTCTTACCTGCCTGAGGTCCCAGGCCACTTCCCACCCTTAATCCTATCTAGGCTCCATTCTCCCTTGGCCACAGTGGTCCAGGTCCCTGGAATTCTATTATCTCATGGACTACTTGGCCACTCCTAGATCCCTCCCATAGTCTTTCTGTATATAAGATCCATCTTGTCTCCATTAAGGTACTTAGATTCTTAAAATCTAGCCACAAACTCAGATTCTTAGAATCTAGCCAATACCTCACATACTCTCAGATTCCTGAGTCTGGCTAATATGGCAGATCTTTAATAAACCTTGTCTTTGGTTGAAAGAAAGCTTGGGTTGAATTCTTGCAGATAGGACCCACGTGTCGTGATCTCGGCGTCCCAGCACCCCTAAACCTCTAGACCTCATCACTCCCACTCATCATTTCTTCTTCTTTTTCTTTTTGGCTAGGTAACGGGGTTAAGTGACTTGCCTAGGGTCTGAGGCTGAATTTGAACTCAGGTCCTCCTGACCCCAAAGCAGGTGCTCTATCCACTGCGCCACCTAGCTGCCACTCATCATTTCTTATAGCACAGTTGTATTCCATTACATTCATATACCACAACTTGCTCAGCCATTCCCCAACTGATGGGCATCCCCTCAATTTCCTATTCTTGGCCACCACAAAAAGAGCTGCTATGAATATTTTAGTACATGTGGGTCCTTTTCCCATTTTTATGATCTCTTTGGGATACAGACCTAGAAGTGGTATTGCTGGGTCAAAGGGTATGCACATTCTTATAGCCCTTTGGACACAGTTCTAGGGCTAGTTTTTAATCTCTAATAAAACTCAAAGGCCAGTTGTATGGTGGATGGAGTGCTGGACCTGGCATCAGGAAAACCTGAGTTCAAGTCCAGTCTCACTACCTACCTGTATGACCTCGGCAGCTTACTTAACCTGTCTACCTCAGTTTCCCTATTCCCATTTGTAAAATGGGGTTAATAATAGCAGCTACTTCTCAGGGTTGTTGAGAGGATAAAGTAATACATTTGTAAGATATTTTGCAAACCTTGAAGTGCTATATAAATGCTAGCTAGCTATTATAATAATCTTCCCCCCCTTGGACCTCACAGAGCATTCTTTTTGTAATTCTTTTTTTGGTAAACTTCACATGGAATACAGAGGTATTAGAATAGGTAAAACAGACATTAGAGGTAATAGTATAGAATACATAGAATGCTGGGCTTAGAGTCAGGAAGACCTGGTTTTTAGAACCTGCCTCTGACAGCACCTGTTGTGAGCCTAAGCAAGCTACTTAATTAACCTTTATGTGCCTCTCAGGTAACTTCTTGGGATTTATCTGGGTTGTAGACCGACTGCCTTAGAAGGAGTTTCCACACTAGAAGTGCCTGGCACATAGTAGGTACTTAATGCATGCTTACTACTTTCCTACACTGAGATCTTTCTTATGTAATATTTAACATTCTAATTAGTATGTCATCTCTCTACTATAGTGTATACTTCTCAAAGTCAGGGACAAGTTTTATCCACACTGTACTTTTGTCGACATCTAGCAAATTGCTTTGCACACGACAGACGCTTAATGTTTGTTGAATGAATACTTTGGAACAGCATTCACAAACCCAACCTCATCAATACATAACTTTCCTCATAACCCACCCATGTGTGTCTTGGTCACAGGATGTTAGATTTAGTCAGACCTGGGTAGAAATGACTGACTTGAATTTTTTTATATGTTAGATTTACTCTGAGCTGGATAGAAATGATTTATTTTTTATTTTTCTATAAAGATCAGAATACAAACAAGTGGAGGCCAGCATCAGGGGCTGGCTGGAATCCTTTGGGAAGCAGCGAGGCTGGGGGGAAGGTGGCCCAAGCCTAGGCAGGCCTGACAAAGAAAAGAATCCCAAATAGTTGTATCCCCTTGTGAGGGAAGTCAGGCACCCAATCCCAGAGTTGAGGATAATAGCCGGGGGAAGGGGCAGAATAACCCCAGTTACTGCCACCACCACAGACAGGAATCTGGCCTCCAGAATGCTAACTTTCCCTAGAGATGGGACTGAGTTCAAGGGACTTGAAGGGTGAAATTGGGCAGAAGTGGGGTGATACAGGGGAAAGGGGACAAAGGCAGGGTTAAATCAAGGTCAGAAACATGGCAGCCAGGAATGCTGGAGGACAGTATAAGGGGCAGGGGTGTGTATGGGGTGGGGTAATCTGGACAATGAAGCTGGACTTCTCTGGGCCACTTCTAAAACAAAGCTAACTTGGAATTCAAGGGGAAAAAACCTGATGGCAACGCGGCTTTGGCAGAGTTCAGATAAGGAAGGCTCTAGCAGGCTAATGATGGTGAGGTCCCACTGGGCAAGGAAATCCTTGGCCGGTCCAGGACTCCAGCATACCCAGGCAGACGAGCGAGCCCTGGGCAGTGACGGGGGAGGAAGAAGGAAGGAGGAAGGGCCCCGTCTGGGTCCACAGTCTGCTTTGGAGCAGTTCTCTCCCACGCCACTTCCAGGCCTGGAGCAGGGCTTCGGTCCCTCGGTCACACAAAGCCCGGCTTCATGGAGGAGCGTCGGCAGTTGGGGCAGCTCCGGGTCCCATTGTTCTGCAGGCACCTTGAGGTGGCAAAGTGGACTTCTTATGGCCCGGCTGCTCCCCTGCCCCCAGTCACACAATGTCACCCCTGAACTTCTTCATGACCTGCCCCTTCTGCTGCCCCTCCCCAGGGGCCCTTCTTGTCCAACATAAACCTTAATCCTCCCCTAGAGGACGCTATGGTCTGGTCGGCTTGGTGCTCTGGGGTCACATGGTAAGGCCTTCCCTGATCCTTCAGCTAGAATCAGTTCCCCCTCTGAAACGCCGTCCTGGCCACCGCCCAGAGCCCTCACACAGCCGCCCCTTTAAAAATGCTATCTTGTCTACAATGATCTGCATACGTCTAGGTTGCTGGAAGGCCAGGACCGTTTCTGTATACTATTGTAATCCCCCACAGCACCCTACACAGAACAGGTGTTCAGGAAGAGCAGTGGGTGAAGGGCAGGCTGAAGGGGTCAAGGTGGGAGCTAGGGCCCTAGGGACGTGGGGGTCTACAAAGGGCAGCCTCCTGGGAGTGCAGAAACACAAGAAGCAGGCCAGCGCAAAGGCGAGAGGCGTCTGCATGCAGGCACTCCCCACTCCAGCACCAGGCACCAGAAAAGGCACTCCCCAAGGATGCCTCCGCAGGGATATGCCCCCGTCTGGTCTTGAGCGCTCCGTCAGGCACCGGCGGCACCAGGCTTCCTCTTGGTCCTGGCCACCAGGCGCACACGCTCCATCAGCGCCCCTTGGGTGACCTCCTCCGGCCTTTTACCTGAGGTGGAAGAAGTGGGAGCAAGGCAGGGCCTGCAGCCGGCTGTTCCTCTCCCCGATGGACTCCCCACAGAGCCCACAGTAGAGCTCGGTCTCCTCTACGCACTCGTGGAAGCGCACGACGTGAGCCCGCAGCTCCCGCTGCTGTCCCCTGCTGCGATAGATGCCTTCACTCAGGCAGTGGAGCTTGAGCTGACTTAGCTGGACACAGAGAGGAAGGAGGCAGAGGAAAGGCCACCAGAGTGATATGGGGACCCCTCTGGAGCTTCCCTCAGCCTCTGGGGTGATGGATTATAACCTCTGTCTTAGCAGTTACCTTTAGCGTTATCCAACGACGCTGCACAGGGGGCAACGCTAGGGGACCAGGGTCTCACCACATGGGGTCTGCTGCTCAATGGGTTGACAGAGGGGGAGACCCTCCATCCCCTCCCAAACTCCCCTCCTCCCTGACGCCCTGTGCTCCTCTCATCTTAAAGTGTTGAGGGTGCTAAGCCAGGCTGAGGTTACTGCTGGCGCTAATGTCCTGTGCTTCCCATTCTAACTCGGCTCTGGTGATTCTGAAAGCACTGGGAAGGGTTCTAGGTCAGAGGGAAGGAACCAGTCTTACCTTGTTCCCCAGTCCCTCGGCCAGATCCTGGGCCTTTTCAATGACATCTAAAGCCTGAGCAGAGGTTCAAAGAAAGAGATGTGAGCCTGGGCCAATGGTCAAAATTTCAAAGTGGGAAGGGATTTCTACGGCCACCTGCTCAAGAATCCGTCCTCACACCCACGCCACAGGCTGTCATCTGGCTCCTCCATTAGAAGGCTTTCAGCAACGGGGAGTCCAGTGATCCAGACACAGCCTCGACGTTCTGCCTCCGGATAGCTCCAACTGGGGACTCTAGTGCTGAGGGGGTGACTCCTTTGGGCCAGGGGGGCTGCAGTCACCAAACTCAGCTATTAGCTCTTCATCTTAGGTCTCGCTTCTACATGGGCCACTTTGGTTCTTTCTTTTCAAACCAAAAAGTAATTTTCTTAGGCAGAGAAAACGAAGTACTTACTGTGCAGCTCTCTTCTCACCAGCATCTTACTTCCCATAGCATTTCTCGGTTCTCATCTTCCCTGACCTTTCTGTAACATCCCCTTAACCATGACAATCTTCAGAGTCTGTTTTGGGCCCCTGTCTCTTCTTTCTCTAGGAGATCTCATAGATTCTCCCGAGGTCCGATATCACTTATCTACAGATGATTCTCCAATGTGTTTCAGTCCCCTTCCTTCTCTTTCTCTCTTACCTATCTATCAATAGGTCCAATCTCCCTGAACTCCAGCCCTGAGGTAGCTCCACAATTCCACTCCCATATCAAAGCCAACTCGTACAAAACTCAATGAAACCTACTCCTCCTTGTCCCTTCCACAGGATTGCACAGCCGAAAAGGACACTGCTCTGGCCGTTAGAGGACGTGAGTCTGGACGATGGCTCTGCCAACTGACCTCAATCTCTCTGAGTTTTTGTGCCCTCCTTTATCAAATAGGGGCAGGGGTGGGGGAGGGGATGCAAGAGGCAAATCGGCTGAGATGATTGCAGAAGACTGATTCCAGCTCAAGGTGTGTTATTTAAATTAAGCCTGCCCCTTCTCACTTTCCTATTTCTGTCGATGGCCACTGCCCTGCTCCTAAGCACTAGGCTTGAAACTTTGGCATCACCTTTGACTTTTCTTCTCCATCAGCCTTCACATCCAGTCATCCCTACCTTCCTAACATTCCCTCCTATCTCTTACCAAGACTGCTGCAATAATGTTCTCTCTGCTCTCTTGATGCAAACCCATCCTCCACACAGCTGCCATATTGATATTTTAACAGCATAGGTCTGACCAGGTCACCTCCTATCCAGTAAACTCCAGTAGCTCCTAGTACCTTCCGGATCAACAGAAACTCCTTTTTGGCACTCAAGGACCTTCACAATATAGCACCTTCCTATATTTTTAATGCATTCCCCTCCCTTTTTGCTGTTCCTTGCATATGACCCTGTCTCCCATGTGCACACCTTTGAATGGGCTGTCCCCTATGCCTAGAATGCCCAGCCTCCTCCCCTCTGCCTCTCAGCTCCACAGCTTCCTTCAAGATCCAGTTCAAATCTCACCTTGTACAGCAGGGAGGCCTTGTTCCCTCCCTTGACCTGCTAGAGCCTACTCCAATGAAGCTCCCTTGCACCTACATTCTCCACATCCATCATGTGTGTGCCCAGTTATTGGCATGTTTGTCTCTTCTATTAGAAAGGGAGCCCAATGAGGGCAGGGGTTTTTCGAGTTTCTCGTAGCCCCGGGACCTGCACATAATAAATGCTTGTCGACCGTCTCTTCCCTTCCCTGCACTCGCCACTAATGGTGACTTCCTCATCTTTCAGACCACCGCAATATTCTTTTAATTGGTCTCCCAGCCTCCGGCCCCAGCCCACTTACTTCAATTCATTCTTCATGCAGCTGCCAAAATCACCCTCCTAAGGCAAAGATCCGTGCTGCTGCTCTATTAAAAAACCATCAGCGGCTGACTCCTTATGGAATGAGATAGCTCTGAGGCTGGCATTTCAGGACTTGCACCATCTGGAGCTCACCTCGCCAGCCTCACTGAATGTTTCTTCCCTTCCTGCACTGCCTGGGATGGACTACTAGCTGTTCTGAGGGAGACGTGGCATCGCTGCCCACTTCTTTGTTCAAGTTCTCCTCGTTTCTGCTTTTCAAAATCTGTATTCAAGGGTCAGAGGTCAGTCAACCTCTTCCATGAAGTCCTTCCTGATTTTTCTAGGGGAAGTGTTCTTTCCTGCCTCAAAGTTTCCTAGTGCACTTTTGACCTCTTCTTTCTCCCATCACACGCTACCTCCCATTTCGTTTATTTGGGGGAACATTTTGTATGCCCTTTGTACCATATAAACTCCTTGTGGACAGAAATAGGGGATTTTTATTTTGCCTTTTTTCATTCTTAGAGTCTAGCAAAAACACCTTGCATATATGCCCCTAAAATGCTAGAAATATTGAAAGGAAGAGCCTGTGTGGACCTCCTTATTGGCTTTTTGGGTACAGTGAGGTTGAGCCACAGGACAGCCAATCCTACTCAGGCACTATTACGAGGAGGAGAAAGAAGGGTCTGGGGTGAGGGTATGAGAACAAGGGACAACCCTCACCTTCTCCGGCTCCTTCTTGGTCACCCAGCATTTGGCCAAGCCCAGCAGTACGTGCACCTGCCCCAGTCGGTTCCCGATTTCCGTCATGATGCTCATGGCAGAGTCATACCTAGGGAAGGCTGTCTGTGGGATGGGGGGGTAGGAGGGAGCAGGGAGACAGTCGGGGTCAGGTCCACTCCTCCCCCAGCAGCAAATCCCAGGACCCGTTTTCCTTCTCACTGACTGCAGCCAACTCCCCTGCCCTTCGAGGGCCCTTCTGGGCTCAGCCATCTTACCTCCAAGTCTCTGCGACTTCGGTGGATGTCAGCGAAACAGAGCAGACAGAGAGCCTGCAGAGGCCGGTCCCCGTGCTGGAGGGCAATCTTCATGGACTCCTGTGATGACGCAGAAGCCTTCAATCCCAAAGCCCGCCCTCATCCCCACCCAAAAAGGACGAGCAGGGGGGACGCCATGGAAGCCGAGCCTCCCTCCCCCGGTCCCAGCCTCACCTCACAGCATTCCATGGAGTCGCCCAGGTGCCCTAGCTTCCGATAGGCCACCGCCATGTGGTACTGGCTCATGGCGCGGTACTTAAGGCTCCATCCCTTGCCGTAGTCGTTCACCAGCTCGGCAGCTTTGCAGGGGAAGAACAGAGCTTTCTCGTAGTCCTGCAGCCGGAGGGGGCAGGCACAGGGAGTAAACAGGGGCGACCTGGCGTGGCCAAAGTCTCAGGGGCAGGGCAGGAGGAGGACCCTTCCAGTGGCCAGTCAGAGGCCCTCTGGGCCTAACACTGCCCTTTCCAGCCCAGATCAGGGCCATCTTTGGGAAGGTGTAGGGTCCGGGATCTATCAAATTCTTTGTGCCCCTCCCTACCACACTGTTTTTAGAGGGAGAACCAGATTACAATGAATATGAGGCAGCCTTGAAGGAGGGAGAGCTGTCTCAGAAGGGTAAGTGGATCCTAAGGCCTTGTTGCCAAGCAGTCACCCTCCGTCAGTGCCTCCTGGTCTTTGTTCAGCGCCAGCTTTGCCCCCTGCCCGGTAAAGAGCCTTCTCCCCGAGGTGGCCCCAGCTTCTGAGCCAGACGCACGCAGCCCTGAGGATGACCTGGCTCGCTTCGCCTGGGAAGTCCCCATTCCCTCTACATCTAAGGCAGCGCCCTCCCAGCCCACAGCCCACCCCAAATGCCCGCCCCCGTCTTGGCCTGGCCGGGATACCACGCACCTTGACCTGGGAGTAGAAGTTGCCCAGGCTGCAGCAGACCCGGCACTCCAGCATCTTGTCGTCGGTGTTGTGTGCATAGCGAAGGGCCTTCTCAAAGCTCTCCAGGGCCTTCTGGAAGAGGCTGAGGCCCAGAAAGGCATTGCCCATGCTCAGGCTGACCTGCCCGTTGAGCTGGTGGCCCACCCGGGTACCCTGCATGTTGAGGCAGGTCTTACAGTAGGAGATGGTCTTCTGGAATTCACACAGCTTTTCGTTGCTTCGGGCGAGGTTCAGGTAACTCTCCATCAGGCAGTCAGCATCTTCCAATTCGCGGGCCGTGTCGATCTGCACTACAGCGAACTGCCACCCAGACCCTGCCCTCAGCCGAGACCCGGGAGGCTCAACCTCTGAGCGGTCCGGGGCCCAGCGTCACTGAGGGGTGGAAGGAGGGGCGCCCCAGGGCAGGGCCAAAGCGAGTCTGGGTGAGGTGGGTAGGGAACTGGTCTGAAGCCAAGGACGGGGGAGATCAAGACACGTACGCCCCAATTCCGACTCACACCTCATGCGGGAGGGAGATTGCTATGGGCTTGCTATGGGCTCCCTGAAACGTTTCTACCTTCCTTGATTTAGGCAGGGAGGGACTTCTCCCATAGGCCAGCAGTCCTAGGCCTGTTTACCAACCTGACCCTATCCAATCGAGCCCTGAGGAACACAGCCCAAGAGCCCAAAGGCTGGCACTTCCGCTGCCTCTGAACACTGTGCGTTCAGCGTACTGCGGTGGTGAGGGTGGGGGGGTGCCAACTCTGCCTCGCCCCAGAGAAGCCCCTCCTTACCTTCAGCATGTCCTTGTAACGGCCCATTTCTGAGTGGGCAGTGACCAAGCAGCCCAGCACTCGGAACCTGCCTACGAGGTCCGTGCTCTTCTCCAGCATCCTCATCCACACCTGCAGGGCTTTCTCCGTCTGGTTTGACTGGTAGAGCTGAAGGCCCTTCTCAATCTGTTGTTTAGACTGGTCCTGCCCCATCTCCAGCTCCGCCCCGCCTCCAATCCCACCCCTAAGTGATCAGAAAGAGTAACGGTCCCTCAGTGAAGAGCAGAACCTGACTGCCCAAAGCTTAGCGCCATAGATAATCTCACCTCCCAAGTCCCCTAGGAACACATCTCCCGTAAGATGGAAGAGTCAGCTTCTCCCCAGCTGAAGGAACAAAGGACTAAGGCAGCAGAGGGAATCTGAGTGAGGAACAGAGCTCCTCCAGCCCTCCCACCCAGCCCGCAGCTGTCGCTGCCAGTCCAGGCCACATGGCCAGCCAAGAATGTCAGCTCCAAGGTCATACAAACTGCCAGTGAAGCTGCTTCCTCTGAGGCCTTGGTAAATGCTCAACGCCGACACTCGGCTGAGACCCTGCTGACCAGAGAGGCCTGACCCAGAATCCCTGACCCCTTCTGTGGAGGACTCCTTCCCTCCACTTCCCCTCACTCTGCTTCAGAGGCACAAGGGGTGGCTGGAAAGCTTCATCGAGTCACAAGAATGGGGAGAGGGACCAAGGATAGATGGGCTGAGTCAAGGAAGTCAAATTTAGCTAGGTAATGTAGGTCTCAGCTGTGCAGACAACCCAGGGGCACGGTGGAAAGTGCTAAACTTGGAAGTCACGAGGGCTGGGGCTGAATAATGCTTGCACCCCTAACCGGCTTGACAACTTTGGCACTCACTTCACCAGCACGGGTCTCAGTTTCCTCATCTGTCAAATAAGGAGTGGACTAGATGGTTGCTAAGGCTCCTTCTAGTTCCAATATCCCCTGATCCTAAAAATAGATTAAAGATTTTCTGAAGCTCAGCTGAGAAAAGGAAAAGGATCTATATGTACAAAAAATGCTTATAGAAGGTTTCTTGTAAAAGAAATGAGAACCAAGCCGGTGTCCATTCACGAGGGAACAGTTGAATAAAGCTCCCCGCCTGCCGCCTACTGGAATGAGCTCGTACAGAAAACTCACATTTTGTAGCAAAAGGCCCTGCAGAGATGTGAGCCACAGAGGAGGTTCCTAGGAGGGAGGATCTGCGGACACAGATCATGGGATCATGTTAGAGCTCAGAGGGCTTACAGAAGTTACTGAGCCTAACCCCACCCCCCCATTAGAAAAAGAGGGAGGAAGGGAAAGAGAGAGGGAAGGAGAGAGGGAGGAAGGAAGAGAAAGAGAAGAAGGTAGGAGGCAGAGGGGAGAGGGAGAAATGGAAATATGGAGGGCAGAGGCATCCAACTCTGTATTTTACATTTATTTACCACCTATTTAGTCTGTTCAGTGTTTGTTTTCTTATTTGAAAAATAAATTGGAAAAAATTCCAAGCACAAAGTGCTCTAAGATTTGTAAAGCATTTTCCACATGTTAACTTATTTGATCCTCATAACCCTGGAAGGTGCTATTACCCATTTAACAGATGAGGAAATTGAGGTTGAGAGGGGTTAAGCAACTTGCCCAGTGTCTGCAGTAAGATTCAAACTGGGATTTTCCTCACTTCAGGTCTTTCACTCAACACCTAGCTGCCTAATGTACAAAGTCATGGCTTCATCTGGGAACACAATGGTGCTCTCCCATTTAAAAGTTGTGCACAGAGGGTATCTAGTTAGCCTGCTGGGTGGTACCACTGCTCAGAAAGACACCCCCCCTCGCCTCCGGGACCTCACTGTAAGGGTTAAGTTTCTAGAGACAACAGTAGTTACTCCCATTACCACAGCACTGACCTATGACTAACCAGGGACCAGAAATTGTACAGGCTCTGGGTGGGCACTAAATATTTATTTATTTCTAAATAAGGATATTTATCCTTAGATAAGGTGAGACACTAGGGAGAAAGAGATGAAGCAAAATGGGCTCACTCATCGATTTCCAGCAACCTAGAATTAGGGCTTTACAGAGGCCTCCTTTTAAACAGAGGTTAGACAATTTATGAAATTCTTTCATCCAAGAGCACCATAGTAAAAGCTGGTAACAACCAGTCCCAAGAAGGGCTTAGATGATAAGATCCTTGACTTTGTACTGCCAGCACCAAGCAGTGCCTACCACATAGACGTTCAACAAACATTTGTTGAATGAACAAGAAATACACGTGTGTGCATACATAATTAGAAATTTATTACTCCACCATCTCATAAACCATTTCTCAGTCAAACTAGAGGCAGGCAGGTGGTACAGTAGATAGACCACTGGCCTGAAGTCAGGAGACCCAAGTTCAAATCCAGCCTCGGCAAGTGTCTTAACCTGTCTCAGCCATCTGTAAAATGGGAATAGTGATAGCACCTACCTCCCAGGGTTGTTGGGAGACTCAAGAGAGAATATTTATAAAATGTTTATCAATGTGTCTAGCACACAGTAAACACCATATAAATACTAGCTATTCTTAACTACATGGATGAATGGAGTGATGAAGAACGATCCCACTTCTGATGCTCCTAAATTATTTTTCACTTTCTGTAGGAAGCTGTCACTCACAAGATATTGGTATTTATTATGAGAGTGTCAGCCGTCCGTCTGCCCTTTAGTTTCATGATTATCCAAGGTTATACAGGTATGAATTGACGGCACCTACTCCAGCTGAGGTCCTTCTGGCTCTTTCTACACTGTGCTAACTGTAACCCTTTTAAACTGAAAGGAAGAATTTGCCAGCTGCAAAACATAGCTGCGGGGGGGGTATAGTATATGAGCATGATTAAGTGACTTCTGGGGCAGCTGGGTGGTGCGGTGCGGTGCGGTGCATAGAGCACTGGGCCTGGATTCCAGAAGACTTGAGTTCAAATCTAGCCTCAGACACTTACTGGCTGTGTGACCCTGGACAAGCCACTTCACCCTGTCTGCCTCAGTTTCTTCATCTGTAAAGGAAATGGCAAACCACTCCAGTGTCCTTGCCAAGAAAACCCCAAATGGGGTCACAGAGAATCTGACAGTTGGGGCTAAACACAAGGAATCTGCCCCCGCCTTCCATCTCGCCTGCTCATCGGTGTCCAAATAACATGCTGAGCACTGCCAGGAAGGAAGATTGCTATGGGAAGATTAGTACCACACTTTAACATGACAGAGAAAAAAGAAAAGGTAGGATGTTCTTGCAAAAATCCTTTCTGACAGATGAAGATGTAATTGGAGCACCTTTCTTTCCATATTTAATTGCTCTCTAGTTGAGAGTAGCTCCTGACTCTCATTAGGGGCTACTCTGAGCATGCTGGGCCCTCCTGAGTAAGTCAGCATCTTGATCCAACAGGAAAGCCCCTAGGAAGAAAATGGCTGTGAATCTTTTGGGGAATGAAATGACTCCCCCAGTTTAAAGCTGGGCAGGCAGCAGAGCTTTGTCCAAATGAACAAACTGTGGAAAACCAGAAAGCAAGGAAATTATTTGGGAGGCTGCTGAAGAGCCCAGGTAATGCCCAGAACGTGGACAAGAAATGCAGCTGGGTGGGCTTAGGAAGAGCTGGGGGTAAAGGGGAAGACTCCTGAAAAGACTTATCGGTACATTCAGAACAGAGATCTAGGTGAGGCCAGGGCAATCGGTGTGGCTAGAGTGGGGCTCAGAAATGGTCAGCTAGGTAGGTTCTGACAAACTCAGAGGGTGGGAATGGGAACCCTCTTAGGGTCTTCTCACTCCAACACCCTTTGCTGACAGGTTAGGTCCTCCCAGAATCTCCATTTTAGGGGATGTGCATAGGCCATTCTTCTCCACTCCCCTGCCTTCCTTTCCTGGCCTCACTTTTTTCCCATCGCATATGTGCATTTGTCTTGACCCCACCCCGCAACCTCCCTTTCAAGTTCCAGGAGGCTGTCCTGGCTTCTTGACTACAGTGATGACCCATCCTCTCCTTCAGATCACTTTACATAAGATTTTTTTCACTGTGTCCAAAATTTAACAGAGAATTCTCAACATAAAAGGAATGACTGAAAGTTAACCTATGCAACATGTCAGATGCCTGTTTTAGTTGGGGTGGGTGTCAAGTGACTAGACCCCTCATGACTGAGATGGGGATGGCCTACCTTCCTTACAAGTTCTGGGACCATGGGCAGTGCCAATCTCTCGACCTCTTTCCTAAACAGTAAAATATAAAGAACACAGGCAGTACCCACTGGAAAGGGCTCTTGTCAGGCTCAACTGGGAACATGGGTAGACTGTTTTGCAAGTTTAAAGCACTATATGTCAGAGTGTCTCTTTCAGCTCTAAATCCTGTGGTACTAGGTACCAATGAAAATATGTCCTTTTTAGGATCTTGTAACGATGACTGCTGCTTAACATTTTGGGTGGGGAGAACTTAAGCACTTTGTCAAAGAGGAAATCGGAAGTCTATGACGTGTTGGCAATTGGCCGAATGGCATACGGCAAGTCCAAAAGCCTCATTTTGGAGAGAATCTTCAGGAAAAATGAAAGAAAAAGCCAAACTCGAGGAAAAAGCGCAGGAAGCCCTGGCTTGCGTCTCCCACGCCCTGTGTCCTCTGAGGCCACGAAAGCCACAAGGAGTCACTGTGTTAGCATCAGATCAAGGCCTTCCTTAGGATCTCTAAGAGGTGGACCTGTGTGTCTGCCTAGTGACACAGCAGGATCCGGACGACTTCACTGTATATTCATAAATCACTTTCTGGTGCCGTTTTCTTCCTCCTCTCTACCTCCCCACTCTGCTGAGTCTGGGTCTCCTGTCTCACCCAGGCAGAAAGGTGCACAGACCTGTGAAGGGCCCAAACCCACTGCTGTTGAGCCTAACAGCTTTGACCTCCTCCTGTTTCCAAGCAAGGTGTGTCTGCCCCTTCTGAGATCCCTGCTCTTGGGGTGCCCACCATTCTGGCAGCATTTCCAAGCTCCAGTGATCTCCCAGCCTCAGCCTCCCCAGCTGTTGGGATCAGTTGTGCCCTCTGTCCTCTGAAAGACTTTTCACATACTTTCTTTCATATCACCCACAGCAACCCCATAAGGTAGGCAAGAACTGAACCCCAGCGAGGGTAAGGGAAGAGAGCTAGTGAATCAGAACTAGCAGCTGGGTTTCCAAACTCCTGCCTCTTGTGTTACACAGCAGCACGTGGACGGACGAGAGAGATGGTAAGGGCTCGGTCTGGACCTCGGCCAGACTGTCCCCCGCACAATGGGCACCGTGGATCTAAGTCGGGGCCCTGACCCTACACCACGTCAGAGCGAATCAAGCCTGAATGCTCTCCAGAAATGCCCCGTGTGCTACAATGCCCGATTCTGTGCCCTCCACTGAAACCTAAGCCAGGCCTAGTTGTGCTCTGCTTTTCATCTCCCAATGCACATATGCCACCCCATCCCAGAGAAGAGTACGGACAGGGCCCCTTCCTTTCTGGTTCTGTATCCAGCCAGCACCCAGCACCTGACCCTTTCCACATAAAGGTCTTAGTCAATATGTTCACTGGCTGAATGAGTGTCTACTTCTGAACATTTTTTAAACAGTGACACTGGTCGGAAGGCCCCCAAGTGCCAGTCTGGCCTCTGTGGTCATGGGCAGGGTCTACACCTCTAGGCTAAGGGTGGCATCTAGGACAAAGGCTATGGGCAGGATTTCACCTTGGTGTTCAAAGACAGGCCCGATGCTACCGGCAGACGTGGGGTCTACTTTATCCACCTCGGACAGCATGCTCTTCTGGCTCCCTGATCCTGTCACATCTCAGCTAGGAGGATGGGATTGGGGGATCTGTGAGCTTCACTGAGGTCCAGGGAAGAAGCGGAAGGGTGTGGTGTTTGTCTTGAGAAGAGAACAAGCAAGGAGACTGTGTGGACAGTTCTCTGTGTGGTCTGTGACAGCGATACTGCAGGGCTCTGGAGTACCCCTGTGGCAGGCCACACAGGAATGCTTCTGCTCACATCCTCCAGGAGCAAGGCTCTGCCTTCTCGTCACTTTCCTCTGCAGGAACAAGGGCTGCCAGTGGGGAAAGGAGGGGGAGTTTCCCATCCCAACAGCGTCAGAAAACAAAGATGACACAAAGTCTTCTCAAACAGTTTAATAGCAAATAAACAAAGGAAGGTACCACACTTGGCAGATACAAAATGACTTTTTGTCCGTGTGTCTGTGCAATTAAAACAGGTTTAGGTTCCCCATCGGGACAAAAGGAAAACCACACAAAGGAAGGAGATCTCCTTCTTTAACACATACTCGCTTGTTCCAGGCTTGTAACAATCGTTTCATCTTTACGCCCACCACACAAGCTCTGCGACCAGGGCTCTTCTTGCTGCCGCCTTTTTTTTAAACTATTTTATTTGTAGATTTTTTTTTTTAACGATTAAAGTAAAATCCATAATTTTCTACAGAGTACAACACAATGTCACACAAAAGAGACGGTTTCTTTTGCAAATCAAAACAGGGAAAAGAAAGGAAAGGCCTGAACAAGGTTAAGGGGAAAGCATCTCTACAACTGAATCACGACTTCGAGTTGATTGAACCCCTTGCTGCTGCAGAACAGACTGTACGTTTGGTCATAGTGGCAATGTTTTCTCTTCACATTGTGAAATCACTTTACATTGTTTTCTAGTAGAAAAGGCAAAAAACTGTACAAAACCCCTAGTGTTTAAATACAACGTTTGTACCAATAAAAAACTCACACAGGTTTGTCTCCAAAATGGAAAGTTTCTTTTTTTTTTTTCTTTTTAAATTATTCACAAAAAGCAGCTGGAAATCAGAAAGGCAGCTGCCGTTCCCAGGGTCTCAAATCCATTAAAACCACCACAGAACAACTAAAACAATCAAAGAGAGGAAAGGAAAGGAAAGGAAAATAACATCCAACGCTTGGCATTTTGGTTTTATCCACAGGCTTCCCCAGAGCTCCTTTTGAAATCAAAAGCAAAACAGATTGGCAAAACACAGATTCTCTGGATAAAGGTGGGGAGGGGGCAGGGTCTCACTCGGGCCTTCTGCCTCCAAAGGTGCTCTGTGCAGTCAGACTGTGGTGCTCGCAGCCCGAGGATCAGGGCGCTTCTGGCCTTTTTCCATGCAAACCCCCTTCTGTTTGCCCGCCTCTCCCCTTCCTGCTTACTACAGGGTAGCACTCCCCAAGATGCCGACACCCAGAACTGGAATACTGCTGGGACTTGCTCCTTCAGGCCTTTCCAGCGGCACCGAATGTTTCCTTCTAGGCCTTTCAGTATCTGTCCCCCAAGTCCTGGAGAATCAGGACACTTTATCTCCCCATGGCCCCCAGAAGGCTCTGGCATGTCTGGGTGCCATCCTTACACTCACTCCTTTATATAATTTCCATCTTCAACCAACTGGTCATTCCTCAATCCTTCTCTTTACCCTTCCACTTCTTAATGACCAGACCTCACTTCTACGCAATTCAACCTTTTATTGAAATGGGTTGTCCAATGAATCCCGGGAGACTGGGGAAAGTGGCCCCTATGAAGGGCAGGGAGAACAGCTGCTGGCTCTTCCTCCAGGGGAAGGGAGACAGGGAGTGTGGAAGATCCGGGGAAGTGCCCAAGGTCTGTAAACAGCAGGCAGACTGGTGTTGTGCTTGTCACCTAGGAAAAGAGCTGGTACTTGCATTACCAGCAGGGTTACAGGCTCTTTCCAACAGAGAGTCAAAAAACGGAACTTTCCTTGGAGGGTAAATGGGGCTCACAGTCTCTCAAAGGATCAGGAAGTCAATGAAAGGCACAAACTTCCTAAGGAGGTCTCTGTGTGAGGGGATTTTTCAAAGAAATGTTGCTGTTAAGTGTCCCACCCACAGCCACCTTCTGGATTCCCATCTCTTTTCCCCTTTCCATATATCCTTAGGTCTTCCCCTATACTCAGATTTCTACCTGACCAGTGTACAACCAGCCTCCCAGAAGCTCCCTCCCAGGCCTGGAGGCCAAATCAGGAGACAGTCCAAGCGCACAGGCAAGCAATCTTATGGGCAACCGAGGAGAAATTTGCCACATCAAAAATAAAAAAACAATCTAGAAAAAAAAATCAACCCCACAACAATTTGAAACAGCTTCTTTGAAACCCTTTAAATCAGTCAGTTTTTGCACAAACTATAGAAAACAGAGAGGTGAAGGTGATATATACGAAGGTGTGAAGAAAACAGCAGGAAACATGCAAAACGTGGGTTTTCTGGGCATTATCTGAGTTGGAAAGGAAAACCAAAGCATCACATTTTGCTGAGGAGATTGTAGAAACAAGCATGGGAGTTAATGAAACAGGACATCAATGTGGATCCAAAGGTTCACCAAAGATGGAGGCGGAGAACCAAGGTGGGGGGGGGAAGAGAGAACAAAGAAGAGGTGCAGGAAGGCCAGAAGGCTGCCTGCTGTCAACACAGAAAAGGGAGTTCAAGTGTTTTCTGCAGTTAAGAACTCAAGAAAAAAAAATACATGCTGTCTCCTCAAGCCCCAGAAACTAGATCAGCAAAATGTGCTCAGGAGCCTCAAAGGTTTAGTGACGTCTTTTATTTCATTGTTTGCTTCAAAGTTTTGCTTTAAAACTAAGCACACAGAAAAACAAAGCCTCGAAACGGACTGGCTGTGTGTTCACAGAAATACAAACACCACACGGCATGTGCTAGTAGGGCTGCTCTGAAGACAATTACAAAGAATTGGAATCACAAAATCAAGTGGTTATCTTATGAAGTTCTAGAAAAATAGATTTTTTTATATTCAAATGCAAGTTTAAATATTTCCCCTTCAGCAGTCGTTCTAGCAAAACCAATTTGGCAGCACAAAAAAAATTAAAGAAAAACAAAGAAAGAAACAAACATAATAAAAAATACACATCAGCATCAAAGGTCAACACAAGGTCAAAGGTGAGAGTTCAAGCATCAGAGAAGCTGAAGAGACAAGGATTTGGACGATGTACTTGACGCCACATCGACATGCTTTAGGCACAACGATGAACAAACGGCAGGAATCTAGAAAAAAACAAACCAGAAAGAGGGAGACCCACTGAGTTACACAGAGCAATACGTCCAAACAAAGAGAGAGAAAACAGGGACACTCAATGTGTGTACAGCCCTGAAACAAAGGAGGCCTTCTGGGGGAGGCAAGTGACAGGGAACTTTCGCACATGCTAACGATGGACACAGGGGAAAGTCAAAGTACACGGAGGACACCAAGAAGACATCAGACTGCCAGGGGCAAAACAGAAACCAAGGCCTGGATTTCCTTTGACATTTCTCGGCAGACTTGACCAGACCCAATGCATGGGTCAAATCATCCACTCCTCCCCACCCCTATGCCCCCCGCTGGACTATGTTATGAGCCCCAGAAAAAAGCAGGAGGCGTCCTGGTGAGAAGTGCCCTGACAGCTGGACGCTGGCAATGCTCACAAGCCCTCTTCCCAAACTGCTCCGTTTGGGAAATCCAAGCTCTCGGCTTCCTTTTGGGCCTGGCCCAGTCTTAGGGAGGTTGGAGGTCTGGCTGCTTCCAAGACAAACTCACTTCATGATGTAACTGAGAAACAGATTACAGCAGACGACACAATGGGAGTGAAAGGGCCACTTAAGACTTGACTGCAAGTTCTCGCTTGGTGCTGGGCCAAGCCTTTCCGCCAACACGGAGCAGCTTTTCCACAAAACCCATTTCTGGCCTGAGGAGAGAGCTGTGCTCCAGGCTGGTTAACAGCAAAGCCTGACTGGGGGACAAAGGAGGGCCAAGGGGACAGCTCAGAGAGCTGCGGGCCTCAGCTTCCAGTTGCCTCACACCCTGGCCTTCCCTCTTCGGGGATCACAGCCCTTCAACATAAGCTTGCAACTGGATACAGATCCCAACACTGAAAGGGGGATCATATCCACCTTTGGGGGTCTCAGATCTGGAGAGGCTGGCCCCATGAGACTGGATGCTGGTGAAACATTGGGGGAGAAGGGCAAATGAGCCCTTGTGGCAAGAAGGCTTTGGGTAACGCATTGCAGGATGGTGGCAACAATGGAGGGAAGCAGAGAGGGAAGTCATGATAAGTGCAGCGCTCTGTGGAGCACAGGTCTCTCCTCTCTACCAAGTCACAGCATCAATCCTCTGCCCCTCTGGCGGGCTAGTCAGGCTGCAAATGGGCCACTGAAAGTCAGTAGTTTCAATAATACACAGCATCCTGTGTGTGTAAAACAATCACATTCTGGATTCTACAAAATCCTGGCCTTTTCCAGAGATATAATTTAGTTAATAAATATTCTCCACCCTGGAGCTGTATAAAACTTCTATAAAAATAGAAATGACATTCTCGGTTCCAGCAGGTAGGGATTCAGAACAGTGCCCCCCAACCTTGCGTTTTTTTCTCTTTTTATTATTTTTTTCTTTATTAAAAAAAAAATCCCACCATGAACCTGGAAGCCTTTGGAACAGTTTTCTCCTCTGAAAACCAGGACACATTTCTCCCAGTGCACAGAATTCAAGTTTACATGGTTCAGCCTAAGAGGTGTACATTATGTGCTTCCCTAAAGGACACAGACCCACATTATCACTTGGAGAAAGTAGCAGGTATTCGCCCATTAATGGAACAGATCCACCCACTATGTGGAAAACAGCAAGACTGACTTTTCACCAGCCATCCCTACAGCCAGTATGGAACAGAGAAGGCCCCCCACCTGACTTCCTGCTGATAGTGGATGCTATGGTTCAAGGCTAGTACTTCTGAAGGTTAAGAACCCAGAGTTCCAGTCCCAAGAGCGGGCCAACACTCACCCCGAATAGTAACACAAGTGCCCCTGCAATGCACACATTCTGAAGAGCGTTTCCTTTCTCAGGCTCAGCTAACAACCCCACCTTGTGGAGAAGAGGCAGAGCCTGGGGCTGCTCATGGTTACAGGCCCAGGGAAGGAATGAGATGGGGTAAGAGGCAGCTCAGATGCTAACTTGCAGGGGGTCAGCACAAAGGACATGAAATGGACAAGATAAAAATTGAGGTAAATGAAATGAATACTATGTAGAGAGTGTAAACGTTCTGCCACCAATGAAGGTGGGGTGTTGATGGTTTAAGCAAGGACCCACAATGGTTCCTCAGAAAAGTCCAAGACCTGGGTCTGGCTGCCACCAACATCCATGGAAATACTATGGAAAATCTGACCCTGTGTAAATGCAGATTTCTCATCCTTCTTAAATACTAAGTACTGGCTCTGGTCAGAAGCAGGACACAAGGTTGCAGGGACCAGCCGTCTGCTCTGGTGCACGAGGAAGGGGACACCAAACAATTAGGGCCAATGATTTACTCTGGCCAGTAGATAAGATGCTCCTGGTTGGCTGTCCTTTCAGCTAGAAATTGGCCTCAGTGAACACTTAGGATAAGACAGAAGGAGATTCTCTTTTTTCAAAAATTCAGTGGACAGAATTATGAAAACATCAGGTGGCTGGCCCACTTTAAACTATCCCCTTCCTTACTGAAGCTCATGTAAAATTGGCTATGGACACTTTTTAGTGTGTTAAAAAGGAGGGACCATAGAACGCTGTTTTTTTAAGTCTAGTCCTATCCAGCAAGGGCACTAGGCATCCAGATCTATTTCAGTGGATCCAACTGTGATGAAAGCTGCTAACTGATAACGTCTGCTTCTCTGATGCACATTTCTAGCTAAGTTAGCAGGCGCTTTATTCTCAGAATCTTGCTAGCTCCTTTTTCAAAGAGGGGCAAAAAGACAAGGTTCTAAATATGGATGGCAAGAATCTCTGAAGCTGTTTTTTGTTTCTGTTTTGTTTTGCTCTAAGCAGCCAGTCCTGCAGACAGCCCCTGAGAGAGGAGGAGCTCTGGGACCCTTGATGTCCAGAGTCAGTGCTATTTTCCCTGCCTCTCCGTGCCTGTCCCCAGGGCAATATGTCCTTGCTCTCTGGAGCTCCTTCCCCTCCTCCCTCCCACCCCAAGGCGGTCTGGTGTTGGTCCTTCTCAACACACACACTGTTTACAAACACAGCAAACTTTAAATGAAGAAAAAAAAATCTCCGCGATATGGCACCTAAACTCCAAAGTAAAACACTGGAAACCAAACAAAGCACAAACTCGTCCTCCGCACGAAGCTGAACTCCCACAGGAGGCAGCAGCCGAGTCTTCAGGGCAAGAGGTGCCAGCGAGAGTGGCGGGGTCAGGGTCCAGGGCTGCCAACACGCAGCCTTTGGGCTTCGAATCACTAAGGGCGGGCGCTTCTTCCCCCACTTACCAGAAGACCCTCTCACTCCAGTCCCAGAAGGGAGAATGCTCAGTAGGGCTTGCTGTCATTCTTGGAGCGTTTGAGCTGCACTTTCAGTCGTTTCATGCCAATCTGAAAGCCGTTCATTGATTGGATGGCAGCCTGCGCTGAAACAGGATTGTCATAGCTTACAAACCCTGTGGACGAGAGAACACACCACCGTGAGGGAGTGAAGAGGAGGCAGGCAAGGTGTGACCCCAATACCTCCCCCTACCCCCATCCACGTCACCCTGTGGCTGTTTCAAGGCCTGTACCTTTAGCAGCTGCAACAAGAACCTGGGCACTGACAGCTCACTGCACCAAGTGACCCCTGGCCAGATCCCTCACCTCCAATGCCAGAGAAACAGAAGCCAACGTACCAAAACACTTGCTCAGGTTTGTCTGCTTGTCGATGAAAACCTTGGCAGAAACAACATTTCCAAAAGGCATGAACATCTGTAGCAGGTCCTGATCTCCAAACTCCTGGGGCAGGTGGTAGATGAACAGGTTGGCTCCCTCTGGACCTTCAAAACACCCACTGATTAAACAGCTAGGTCAGGGCAGCTGCACACCACAGCAAGCAGAGTCTGCACCACTTGGAGTGAACGGAGTTCTGTGCTCGGTGAACCATCTAGTCACCAAATGAGGGTTTTCCTTTCACTAAGGCAGGGGTCTTTGTCTCCTATACCCCATTACTTACTCTCTGCTGAATGCTGCATAGAGTAAGTAACTCGACTAGATGCTGCTAGATCTCTAAGGTACTGGCAATGACAGGTGAGTCAGTCGGCCACCTAAAATGTCAGTGTGGACTGCTCAGGCAAGAGACAACAGACTACTGGCACTCAGTTCTTCAGGACAATGGACTATAGCCCAGGCTTTCACTTTGCTTTTAAAACCCCTAGAGTGTTACATAAACAACCATCTGCAAGTAATTGTGAAAAAGTGTCAACTTCTTAAAGAACCTGGAGTTTGAGAAGGGGAACAGAAAGACTATGACTAGTGTCACAGGAACAGCTGACGCAGGCCGACTCGGAGGGCTCCCATCCACAAGAACACCCTGCTTAATACTGCCTGAAGCTCTACGAGGTGAAGACAGGTGGGGGTTAGTGAGCCTCCCCCTTTAAAAGACAAACTGGACAGCTGTGAGGCTATCAGCTAGTTACACAGCTAGCGCCTGCTTTCCTTCCAACACGTCCCACTCTCCTGGCCATCGAAGGAAAACTGATCTGTTCTTGTTGCTGTTGTTGTTTAGGGGGATGTGCATTTTAATTTATGTGAGCTAATATAAAATAATTACTGTTTCCAGAATGCACATGTGACCTAAGAACTGGAGAAAGGCTTGGGCAGAACGCGTCGAGCCTTTTACCCATTTGCAGATTAGCCCCTCGTCAGTCACCTTTAGGGGTATGAGTGGGGAGGACTGACAACGCAAGTATGTGATCGATGGGGGGGTGGGGGAGTGACACTCCAGTAGGGTGGGAACAGGGAAGAGGACAGCACACACTGTCCCCAGAGATCAGGTCCTCTTATATTGGTATATTTAATGCTTTTGTTTATTAACGACATGAGTCGATATCACATTCATTTTGGCAGATATGTGTGTGTGTGTGTGTGTGTGTGTGTGTATACATAAAATAAGTCGAGCAACCAGGCGTACCTACTTGATGCTACACTGAACTGGGACTTATAAATGAGGGCAGAGGAGGATGGCAGTTTGGGACCATCATAAACCTTAGGGGACAAGGCATGCCTCAGAAGGGTACTGCTGGAGAGAGCCTTAGGAAGAATTAGGGCACAGGACACTAAGAAACGTTTAAATTTTGCATTTAGACTTCCAATGCATGGTATGCTAGACGCATCTATTAAATATTTGACTGTCTGAAAGGAGAGAAGGGTATAGAAAGGAAATGGAAAGATTTAAAAAAAAAATTTTTTTGGCCTATTTTACGATTTTGCTGCAGGTTGGCCCTTCACTCAAGGGGAAAAATACCCTTCCTTCAACTCCATCCTGGCACTAAGAAATCAGGCTAGTACTACAGCAGTACAACAGGGAAGCTTATCATAGGATTAAAATAGAACCCTATGATCTCCTATGAGCTGGCCTGGGAACCTAACCTAAGATTGTTACCATAAGATGTGCTTCCGGTTGTAAACAACTGATTTACAGATGAATACTGGGGACACAACCTGCTTATTAATAAGTGGATCCTGCCTACACAGCTGGAAAAATGGGCAAACCCAGTACCCTGTGCTTCCCTGACTGCTGGTGCTTTGAAATGCTTGCATCTTTCATAATTATAACGTTTAAACAATGCCAACTACCAATGGGGTACAAAAACACAGTCCAACGTGAACATGCAATGCGAGAAAAAGTCCTTGCTCACTCAGGCAATGTCTAAGTGATAACTGGCTTACTCTTAAGATGAGTCTCCTAAACTCAATAAAACTTATGTTGAAGCTCAGTTTCTTTACTTCATCAATCCTTCCTCAAATTACCAGCTTACTCCCTTGCTCTTTTCCTAACTCATTACATTCTAGTTGGTTTACTCTGTTAATTAAATTGAATTCATTTTGAAAAATTTAAATCTGAAGTAGAGAACTTGCAAGGTGACACAGTTAAAAGGAATATCCAGCCATAAATAACAGTGCAGAAATAACTTTCTAATAAGAGTGGACTTCTAAGATCTTCATCTGGTTTTAGACAAGGCCATGAATGGTATCTGTTTCCTCATCTGAGAAGTGAGCCATTTTCAGAAGGTTCAGATCAAAATGTTAGAAATAAGGTAAATTCTGATTTCTTCAGGGATCAAGAATATTGCACAAGCAGGACAAACTCCCACAGACCCCACCAAGCTTCACCTAAAGTTTTAGTAATAGACCACATGGTCTACTATCTCAGGACTAAGCCTAGCTACAGGGAACAAATCATTCTAAGAAAAGTGACCACCAGGTGATGAGTCTTTCTAATAAAGCATCACTCAGACAAGGTGTGGAATAGCAGCTTTGATCAGGAGAGGGAGACGCCATGCCAACAAAACCCCAGACCTCTGCAGTATGATACCATGCCAAGTTCTGGACATTCTTTGTCCTCTGCCTCCTCTTCCTCCCCCTCCCTCCACCTCCACTCCCCATCATTAGCTCTAAAATCTCAGGTTAAGCCTACCTTCCTTCTGACTTCCGGCAGCACCGATGTTCTGTTGTGTCAACAGGTTCTGGTTGTAGAGTGTTGGGAGTGCAGCGGCAGCATACTGCTGGATTCCAGAGTAGGCCTGCGTGAGTGCCTCCATCGTACTTCCAGTGCCATTAGAAAGACCACCACTGCCCAGGCCGCCATTTAAGGCAGCCATCCCTGCATGCAGGAAAAGAATAGAGCTACTAGGGAGAAAGCATTCCCCTGGTTTCCCAAGGAAAGTGTTCATCATTCTTCTTTGAAACCTGGCTAAGTTATGAAATGGACAGCTCCTTTAAGGACTAACTCCCGTTTATACAGGACTACACAGGTAAATGTTTAACCACTGGTTCTGTAGGGGCACAAAGATGTGTGCACAGCATCACACTTTTATCCCTACTCTGCACTATCGATATTTCCTTTATGACTTTTTTTGGTAGTATTTTATTTTCCCCAGTTACACGTGAAAACAATTTTTAACATTCATTTTTAAACTTCTGAGTTCCAAATTCCCTCCCTTCCTCCTTCCCTACCCCCTCACTGAAAAGGCAAACAATTCAGTATAGGTTATACATGTGTAGTCATGCAAAAGACACCCACAACAGTCACTTCATGACTTTCTTAAGATTAAACCAGCCCCTGATGTGGAACCCCTGTCTACCTCTTACCTGCTAAGGAGCCGACGTTGAGGCCTGCAGTTGCTCCAGCCAGCGTCTGTAGGGCTCCGAGGGAAGCCATTGGATTAACAGAGTTGCTGCTACTGGAGCTTGGGGAGGACCCTGCTATTAAACATGAAAGACTTAAACACAGGCCCATCCACATCCCATCCACAGTAACAACCACAGTAAGAAAGCATTCTATTTGTAAAGGGAAGTCCAATTACATAGTTTTGTCATCTTTTCCACAGTGGTTAAGAAAAAAAAAAAGGAGGAAACACAAAAAGAAACGGGAACTCAAGTCAGAAAAGCCTTGGAAACAACTTATTAGCCTACCTTTAAAAATATTAAACAAATGAAAACCCTGAAGTTTCATCTCATACATGGATTAGAAAAGATAACAAAAGACAAAAATGACAAACGTCCTTTGACAGATATGGGATGACACGCACACTAACACACTCCTGATAGAACTGTGACTTAGTCCAACTGTTCTGAAAAACAATTTGGAAGTATACTAGAAAAGTCTACAACATCTACCTTTCAGTGGTACTATAACTACGGGACCTATATTCTAACGAGGGCAACGATAGTGAGAACTGTCCTATACAGAGTCCATACACATGAGCTAAACAAATCAAAGTACATGAAAAGAAGGAACTATCACTACACCATAAAGAAACAACAAACAGGACTTCAGAGAACCCTGGCAAGAGGAGTGTGAAATGCTGCATTGTAAAGTAAATAAAGCAGTGTTTACAATGACACTACAATATAAAGGAAAACCAACATCAGGACTCTGATTAGTTAAGTGACCAACCAGAGGAGAAGCATGCCTTGCTCTCAACCAGGTAAAGAAGCGGCAGAATAAGGCATGCGTACACTGTCAGCAAAGCCAATGAGATGATCTGTTTTGCCTAAATATTATTTCTTTGCTGTGGGGATGAGTAATATTTGTCTACGGGGAGGAATGTAACCATTTAAATGATATCAATGTGAAAGAGAGAGGGAGAAGGGCCTCAATAAAATATTGTAGAGTAAAGGCTGGGCACTGACCAAGTTTCTATGATGAGGTACTTCCCTCCCAGATGCATAGCAGAATGCCAGGGTTAAAAAGAAGCCTAGAGGGGCAGCTAGATGGTGTAGTGGAAAGAGCACCAGCCCTGGAGTCAGAAGGACCTGAGTTCAAATTCAGTCTCAGACCAGACACTTGACACTAACTAGCTGTGTGATCCTGGGCAAGTCACTTAACCCCAACTGCTTCGCCACCTCCCCCCGCCCAAAAAAAGAGGAGCCTAGAAATAACCAAAATCTACATCCCTCATCTGACAGACAAGGAAACTCTAGCCCAGAAAAGTCAAGTATGGAGCCCAAATTAACCTGAGAGAACTTCTCTTCCCCGCCCCCCCCGCCTCCCACCCCCATGGTCAGCCTTACCTGAACTGGTGAGGACACTGAGAGGACTGCTAGATGTCGTGAGAGCATTGGTACCACTTGGTGTGTTCTGAGCTGCGCTAGCAGCCGCTGCCAATGCAGCCAAATTCTGTAACTGCATTGCATTTAGTCCTGCAAAATTGAAAGCAATATTTCAGACAAAAGACTGATCCCATCAATGCCAACAGAACTGACAGAATAGCAGCCCTAAGAATCGAAAAGTTTTTTGTCAGCTTCATCTTAAGGTTCCAAAGGCTTTAGCTATGCTCAACTTTTTAGAGAAGCATTTTCTGTGTTTTCTCCTCATACCACATTTTGAATCCAACAAGACATAATCTTAGCTCAGGAATTAGCTGCAGCAATAGGAAATATTTACGGTATATCAGGAAAGAAGGGCCAGTTACCATCTGTAGGTAGCTTGGGACCATCTATGCAGTACAAAGTATGGGGCCCTTTACAGAGTCCCTGCTCTTTGGAAGAAGATACACGAACAGAAAATGTAAGAGAACTACATCTAGAAGGCTAATTCAGAACGAAAGGACTTTCCCTTCCCTATTTCCTCAAAGGTCTATTTTTCCCCCTTTTAGGATTATGTTTAGTTTTGCTGGATAAGTTATTTGTGAGAACACAGACAGCATATACAATGGACTGATACAAACTAAAAAGAATCATGGACAAAAGACCAAAAAGAAAACATTTTAAAATTAAATTTATTTTTAATCAGTCAAAAATCATCTTTTTCTCCCTCTCCCACCCCCCCATCCCCCAATAGAGGAAAGAAAAGTCTCTCATAATTAAATGTGGCAAAACAAATCTCCACATTTGCCACGTCCCAAAAAAGGTCTCATTTTGCCCTCTGTGTCCTTCCCCTCTCTCTTGAGGTGGGTAGTTCATCATTAGTCCTCTGGGATCATGTGTGGCTTTTTTGGTTTCTGTTTTTTTTTTTTTGACTTTTTGGTGAGGCAGTCAGGGTTAAGTGACTTGCCCAGGGTCATACAGCTCATAAGTGTTAAGTGTCTGAGGCCAGATTTGAGCTCAGGTCCTCCTGACTCCAAGGCCAGAGCTCTGTCCACTGCGCCACTTAGCTGTCCCTCGTGTACGGTCTTTAAGCTAGTAAGAGTCCCCAGGTCTTTCACTGTGCACTGTCTTTACAATACTGTTACCACCATATAAAAGGTTCTCCTGGTTCTGTCCACTTTACAAGTTCACAAAAGTTTTTCCAGGTTTCTCTGAAACTGTCCCTTTCATTTCTTAAAGCACATTTCAGCACGGGTGTAGACCATAATTCGTTCAGTCCGTCTTTAGCTGAGGGCTAGTGCTCCGCTAAACTTGCACTCACACTTCCTGCCCCCTCTCCCTGCTGCCCTTGCCCTCTTGTTTCTCTACTGAATGAAATCTATTTCTGTAGCCGATTATGTGTTTGGCCTCCTTCGATCAGTTTAGATGAGAGTGGAAGCTCCAGTGTCAGTCACTCCCCTTTCCCTGACCTCCCCCTTCATAACAGACTTCTACACGCACACCCCAATCATGTGAGATGATTTTCCATAACATGCTTCTCCCTTTTACCCCTGGGATATTCCGCTTCCCCTCCTTTTCCATTCTTAAGATCACCAAGACACAACAGAACTACTCCCAAGCCTCCTGTCCAACTAGACACCGTCTATGATTCCCAACAGTAGGCTTCTGGGGAGACACATGCATGATCTCCCCATATTAGAATGTAAGCAACTTAGCCTTTAGTGTTTAGTCCCTGGTGATTGCTTCTGTTTACTTTTTTATATTTCTCTTTAACTCGTGTGTTTGAAATTCAAAGGGTTGTTACGAGGATCAAATGAGATATCTGTAAACAAGCACTTAGCACAGTGCCTGGCACATAGGAAGAGCTATATAAAAACACTTATTGTCTTCCTCCTTCCTCTCTCCTATTTCCTTAGTTTTGCTGGGTAAGTTATTATTGACTATAAGCCCACAGCCTTTGCCTTCTAGAATACCATTATTCTCTAAGCTCTCCATCCCTTTACAGTGATGGGTGGTAAATTGGATGGGATCCTGACTGTGGCTCCTCAGTCCTTGAATCCTTTCTTTCTGGATGCCTGTAGTATTTTTTTCTTTAACCTGAATGTTCTGAATTTTAGCTATAATACTGCAAGTTTTCATTCTGGGATTTCTTTCAGGAGGTAACTGGTAGATTCTATTTCCACTTTGCCCTCTGCTTCTGAGAGATCGGGCAGCTGTCCCTTAGGATTTCTTGAAACACTATGTTTAGTCTCTTTTACGATCATGGCTCTCAGGCAGTCCAATGATTGCTGAACTTTTTTCTCCTTGATCTGTTTTCCAGGTCAGTTGTTTTTCTCTTCGATGCCTTACATTTTTCTTACTTTCTTTTCTTTTTCTTCTTTAGTCTTTTGACTTTGTTTTAATATTCCTAGTCTTAGTCATTAAGCTTCTCTTTGGTCCATTTTAATTTTCAGGGGAATTATTTATTGCCTTTATAATTTTTTTTCTTAATTTTCATTCCTAGGGGCAGCTAGGTGGCACAGTGGATAGAGCACCAGCCCTGAAGTCAGGAGGACCTGAGTTCAAATCCGGCCTCAGACCAAACACTTGACACTGACTAGCTGTGTGACCCTGGGCAAGTCACTTAACCCCAATTGCCTAAAAGAAAAACTAAAAAAACAAACAAAAAAAACCCCCCAAAAAACCCCACAATTTTCATTCCTTTGAAAAGAATATTTTCAAACTTTTTCTGTCTCTTTCAGAATTCTAGTTGAATCTGTACCCAAGCTTTGTGTGTTTGCTTGTAGACGTTTTGGAGTCACTCTCTTCTGGGTTTTGTCAGGTGTTCCTGTCAGCACAATAGCCTTCTTTTTTGTTTTGTTTTAGGCAATTGGGGTTAAGTGACTTGCCCAAGGACACACACAGCTAGTAAGTGTCAAGTGTTTTGGTCTGAAGCCACATTTGAACTCGGGTCCTTCTGACTTCAGGGCCAGCACTCTATCCACTGTGCCACCTAGCTGCCCCCTAAAGTAATCATAAGATTACTCTTTTTACTTTACTTTTTTGCTTGTTGGCTAGGCAACGGAGTTAAGTGACTTGCCCAGGGTCACACAGCTAGTGTTATGTGTCTGAGGCCACATTTGAACTCAGGTCTTCCTGTCTCCAAGGCTGGAGGCTCTATCCACTGAGCCACCTAGCTGCTCCCACAATAGCCTTTTAATGGTCAGATTCTGTTTGCTCATTCTTCTAACCTCTTTCTTGACTTTAGACTTTATGCTAAGCCCAGCCTCTGGAGGAAATGTCTAGGCTGGTCCTACTGCTGCTTTCTTGGAGTATTAAGTGTTGTGCTATTCTAGGATCATAAGAACACATCAGGCTGGGGATCTATAAGCTTTCAGTATTCCTAAAGTTGTCTGAAAAGTCTGATCACCATATCACTGGTCTGAGCTCTGGAGTTTCAGCAGAGCGCTGGTGGGCTCCCCCTCTGTCAGCCAGCTGGAAAGCTCTGCAGGCTTCCATTTGGGTTTTTTGTTTTTTGGTGTTTTTTTTGGCTAGGCAATGGGGTTAAGTGACTTGCCCAGGGTCACACAGCTAGTAAGTGTTATGTGTCCGGGGCCGGATTTGAACTCAGGTCCTTCTGAATACAGGGCCAGGGCTCTATCCACTGTGCCACCTAGCTGCCTCAGGCTTCCATTTGGGCTGAGATTTCTACTCTAGTTATAGCTCTGCAGGTTTCAAACTAGGGCTCCAAGCCACACTTGCTGTGGCTTGTTTCTGAATGTCCTCCTTGCTTGGCACACAGAGCCCTCCTCACCCTGCACCCTACACAAGTTTAGGCAAACTTTATGTAGGGGTTGACTCAGCCCCCAGTGTCCACAGATATTTGTTTCCATATGCCTGCCTGGGCTGGAAGGTTTTCTAGATATGGGAGGACAGGAGGAGGGTGGGAGGGAAGATATACTTCATCCTGCTCATTTGTCATCTTGGCTCCCAGGAAAACATAAGTCTGATGGGAACATACCAAAGGAAGAATCTGTTTTTTGGTGGATAAATAAGAAGTGACACAGTAAAATAAGAGCAAAAATGGCCAAGCTAACATAATTCTCTGGCTCAAAATGAACCACCTTTTAACCTGGGGATTTTTAATTTGGAAAAAACAAAGTTGGATAGCTGTCTTCAAGTATTTAATGGGCTGTCACGTGGAGGGTGGGTCAGATTTCTTCTGTCTGATTTCCAAGGCAAAACTTGCCCAATGGGGTGGAGATCGTAAGGAGGCCAATTTAGTTGTGATGTCAGGAAAAACTCCCCAACCAAGACAGAGATTCAAAAGCAGGGTGATCTCCCCAGAGAGGGGGCAGCTCCCTCACCTAGGAGGTTGCCAAGCAAAGACTGGACAGCCACAAGTCACACAGATTTACAGGGGGAGACTTTTCAGTTATAGGTTGGAATGGATGATCACTGAAGTCCCTTCAAACTCTGAAGATGCTATGAATTATTTGGAAGAAGAAATCATTTTTGACTATTATCCCATGAAATAAGAAAATGAACATTTATCTGCCCTGACAACTCCCCAAAGGCCCTCCTCTGATATTTTCCCCACTGGATGGGAGGGTGCCACGGGCAATGCTATCCTTTGATTGCACAGGACGCTGGGAAGTTATCTCAGATAGAATGTGGTATTATTTTTGTATTATTAAATGATGACCTTTGCATGTCTGATTTTTTTAATTTTAAGGCACACTTCCTACAGAACTAAAAATTTTACAGTTAAATTACTTTAAAAACACAACACATAAAGATGAGGATAACTAAAAACTTCCTCCCCTAGCCACAAAACATGAAAGGCTCCCCTATGACCACAGAATCACATAGGAAGATGGCTGGCCATGCAGGTTTCCTGGGGAGTTATCCCGATGGGTTGGGAAAAGACATTTTGTTATAGAAATGAATAGTTTCTCTAACACTTCTCTAAGACAGACCAAAGGAAAAACCTCGGGCATTCAGTATCGACTACTTTAATGCACTGATAAATTTATGAGGCTGAAATGATCATGAGACGATGGAGTTAGAGCTGGAAGAGACTTTAGGGGCCTCATAGCCAACCCTTTGATTTTACAGATGAGGAAACCTGAAGTAGAGAGAAGCTGGGTAACATGCCCAAGGGATAACGCAGGATCTGAACCTGGGTCTTCCCCCACTGCTCTCTCCATGAAAGAAGGGTCTTAGCCTGGTCCTGTAGTACTAGCTAAGGAATCACCACAATCTGAGTCTGTTTCTTCACCTAGATGGATCCATTTCAGTCTTAAAATACTGGGAGGTGGAAGCCTTTAGTGAAGATTTAAAATTGGAATGCAGAGCTCTGATTGCTCTAAATAGCCTAATTCTAGCCTAGAATTTACCCTAGTACTACATGGAAAAATATCTGAGTTCCCTTTAAAGTGATGGTTAGATGTTACAAAGCATTGACCCTAAATGATACCTACCGAAGTCTAATGGTTTGGTTAAAAAAACAAAACAAAACAACCCCCCCCCCGCCAAAAACCCACAAACCACTCACCTCCCATTGGGTGGAGGCTGCCCAGGGTGTTGAGGTTCCCAGAAGAGGCAGTCTGCTGAAGGAGCTGCAAATAAAGCTAGACATTACACCAAAAAACAAAACAAGAGTGAGAGTGAGGGCTGGTTCCGCGTCTGGGAGAACTCTACAGCACAGCAAAGCGAGCACACAGGCCCAGGCCCCAAGAGAGGAGGGGGAGGAGGCTGAGAAGCCCCCAGACAGCCCAGCAGCACAGCCCCGCACAATACAACATGGCTCAGCGAGAGCCTCCAAGGCTCCAACACAACAAGGAGACGATCAGAGAACAGTAGAGCCAAAGGACAGCCCCAGGAAATGAGAGAAACCCCAGGTCTGAGAGGCCTCCCAGCTGAAGCCTCTGCCTTCAGGCTCTCTCCCTTAGGTGCTCAGGATCACCTCTCTCCACGTGTGCCCCCAAGTCATTTCCATCTAGATGCCTCACTGCCATCTGAAAACTGCCTCCACACAAACATTCTTCCCTAGAGACCCTGCCCTTGCTGCTGGCCAGCCCCACAGCCTTCATCTTGGCCAGGATAGCCTGCCATCTTTACTATCTTCCATCTCAGAGAGACCCTGATTGCAAGTTCTGACAGTTCTCCTACAATCACCCTGATTCTGCTCCAAGTGAGCTGGACCCTTTTCTCCTGGCTACACCCTCCCCAACCACAAGAACCTTTCTATACAAGCCAACCCACACTGACAGATCCCTAGGGATCAAGCTTATTTTCTTGCCTCGAAAGTTTTTTATGCAAACTGTCCCTTAAGCCTAGAAAAAAACCTGCCCCCTTCTAGGTCACTTTGCACCATTCATGAGACCAAACCAGTAATGACACCACCCGCTGGTGCCCTTATGACCCCCATTTCTGTACACATATTACAGCTACGGGTCCACTTACTTTGATGTGCATTTGTCAAGACACTTTTCTAGTAAAAGCTGCAACTTTAATGGCAGAAACCAATTCAAAATGAAACCCCACAACCCTCAGTACAACGACATAGACCCAGCCTATAGATAAGGATGACAAGGAGAATGCCCTTTAAGGCCCCAAAATTGAAGTATTAGTGAGGGTCCCAAAGATAACATTAGTTCACACAGATACAGCTTTTTAAGGTTTCCAAATCACATTATATTTGCCATGTCACTCGATCCTCGCAACAACTCCAGAAACAGGTGTTATCCCCATTTTACAAATGAGGAAGCTGAAGCTCCAAGGTTAAACTGCCCCAGGATCACCCAGTTTTTCAGGGTTCAAAGCAGGATCTGAACCCAGGTCTTCCAGACACATTAGTAGTCCTGAATCACAGGGGAGCTTATGATATCAGTAGAGGAGTACCCGACAGTGCTGGTTCTCCCCAGCCCTCTAAGTCACCATGAAAGGTCCTGAAGGGGCTTTCACCAGAATGAGGACTAAAACCTCTGGTGACAAGCCCATCTTAGCCCAAGCTGAGCTGCTTAAAATAAGCAAAGTGGTGAAGTAAGCCCATGAAGAAAGCCAGACGCTAAGGAAACAATCACACTAAACACTGTCTTCCTGTTACTGAAAGTGTATCAAGGTTATAACAAATCTGCAGCCTGAACATTCTTAGAACAGTGATGAGCAGCTGTCATCCCTCAGCCACAGCGCAGTGGGGGCCTAAGAACACCCAGCCCACTTCCCTCAGGTTTGGGAACGAATGCTGGTAGCTGTCCCTTCTTTCAGCTCTTCCACAGCAAAGAGACAGAACTGTATTTCTTGTCCTGTATTCTTCCATGGGACTCTAGAAACAGCTCATTTCAAATGGGCAATGTTTCTCCTTTCCTCTACTGGCTATGCCTCTCTGGAGGGCTGGCTCCAAGAGCCTCCTGGGACACTTCCTACTGTGGTACTTGATTTGGGTCTGTTCATGCTGCTGCCCTTGGAACAGGAAGATGGGAGGAAGAGTGCAACAAAGGACGCTGCTTCCATACAACAAAGAACCCTTGGGGAAGTGCATCTATAGGGTTCCTGTAATAATCATGTCAGATTCTTGCTCTCGTGGGAGCGAATAATTCAGGAAACCTTTGAGGAAACTTCTGCATCCAGCAGGACAGTATCTAAGATTAGGCAGCACAATGATAACAGCGGGATATAAGGAAGAGAGGAAAGAGGAGGAGAAGATAAATGGAATAAGAACTTGGTTTTCTGCCTAACTGTCACAGAAGCCTCAGGTGCAATTACAGAACAAACAGACAGACAGAAATACAGACAGACAAACTAGTCAGATGCCCGGTGACTCCATTTCGGTGTCTGCCCACTATAGCGCCTGCTTCGCTGGTGTCTATTTCAGAACCAATTGCCCAGAAGTCCTATTCCATGGGCAAAGAGCCAGGCGTGAAGACTCACTGCTAAGTACTGGGGTCCCAGAGTGTTCAGCCCAGCGAGATTCCCCCACACAGATGCGGCACTGATCTGCTGCATCTGCTGCTGCAGCTGCTGGGCCATGCGTTTCTGTTCTTTGTCCTTCTGGGTGTCTGCAAACTTCACCACGATGGGAGAGGAGCAGCCCTAAGGAGGCAACCAAGGGAAAAGTAAGAAAAAAAAATGAGCCTGTTCCCTAATTCCAGTGCCAAACGGGGAGGGAGCTAAAGGCTCAAAGGTGAGGGAGCAGATTTTAGCTGCTGAGGATGTGCAACTGGGGTGGGAAGCTGTCATGAAAGGAGAGCCAGAGCTGCCCTTGCTTTACACTGGCAGGTGCTCTCAGACTCCACAACGACTTCCCTCCCGAGAGCAGAGGTAAGTCCTGACACTTTGGTATCCTGGCCCAACCAAGGACCAATTCTCCATATGCTCCCTTATGGGATTTTCCCCCCTTTTCAAAGGGGTCTTTACCTCCATTGTCTGTGCTTGATGCATCGCCTTGATGGCTGTCTGTGCCATGGCTCGTGTTGTAAATGTCACAAATGCACAACCTGGTGGAAGAAGGAACATCTTCGGTCTTCAAAGAGTTCAAAAACCTCTCGTTTATAAAAGCAGAAAGAGTTTTAGCTGGATGCTAAAAAGCAAGGTGGTGACGAAGGGATGCTCAGGGGCTCTTCCAGCACAGCCAGCTGGGGAGATCACCTTTAATATAAAGGCAAATTTATGGCCTAACAAAGGGGCACCCCAAACCTCGCCACACAGATTAAGTCCTGCTGTCTAGGGATCATTCACTTTATGAACTAAGAGAAAAAGCACTTCACATTTAATACCTCAAGAGCTAAGAGTGTTCATACCTCGGCTCAGACCATCAGGACCTCGTAATATTCTGCACTCTTCAATCTGTCCGAAGGAAGAGAACATGACCCGGATATCGTTTTCATTGCACTTCTTGGAAATCATACCAATAAACAGCTTCCTGTCTTCCACTGCTAAGAGACCAAAGTACAAAAGGCTTCTAAACGTTACTTTGAAAGACAAGGAGAAAAGGGTGAAGGTGTCCGTGCTCACTGAGGGCCAAGCAGAGACGTCTTTCACTAGGTCTTGCTGTCCACTTGTCTCTTCCCACCTAATGGCTACAATTCATCCCCCACCTTTTCTGCCATCTCCTCTTTCTCTCCCAACCATAAGGCCTATAACTATCAAGACAAAAATTCCAATTAATTCTAACAGTTCTTAAATATAGTCTACTCAACTTGCTATCAATTCTAATTTCTTTCATCTGCCATACTATTTATTGTTATAATACAGGACAATTGAGAAAGTCATCCGTTTCCTGCCCAACCCACCTGGCCCTTTGTAATTCAAAAATTTTGATCATAATAAAGCTTAGAGAACTGTCCTGATTAGAGGAAAGATCAACAATATATTTACCATTGTTTTTTTCACTGTCTGCAGGTTTCATCTGTATAGGATGATGCATCTGAAAAAGAAAAATACTACCACTCTGTATTCACACATTGGCTATGGATTCTTCAAGACTCTGGGCCAAAATCATATCTCAGTATCTCCTCAATGTATATTATAGTGTACACTATGTTATACTACATTACAGTACACTACACATCCTAAGCCTCTAAGGTCTGTGTGTGTCAAATGGATAAAACACTAACATTTCCGGGAGACTGAACTATAACATTGGTGTCTTGGAAGCTTTTCTTGACTCTTCTATTATAGCACCATTTTTATGCCAAACATTAGGGCTCAGACAACAGGAGAGTCAAGATAACAAATGCACAAGGCTACAGGAAACATTCGCATCAATTTCTCATAGATATCGGTGGAATTCCTTGTGAGCTTGCTCTTTGGGAAAGGGTTTTTGGTACTGAGCCCAGGAGCTCATCCTACTTGTTAATACCACTCTAAGTCTTCCTGACAGAATGGATGCTCTCTCTTCTTACCCCTGGGAGGATCTTCATATTGTGAAGAGCATTCTGTGCTTCTAGTGCGGCTTTCCGGGTGTAAAACGTAACAAAACAGCACCCTGTAATCACAAACTTAAAAGATTAGGACTACTCTTGTGCAAGAAAGTAATTTTTAGACAACTTGCTTCCAGATACAAACAGCATACTGTCAGAACTCTTACAAGGAGAACTGCCTGCCTGTATATACAAGATGGAGCAAAAAATAAACAATTCACAAGATCATTCAAGTTTTTAAATGCCCTATCTAAATAAGAAATTAATAAGGTTATGTTGAGATTGATATAGTTTCTTATACCACGAAATATATTCTTTATGAGATCAAACTGAACCTATCTGCAAACTTCTTCAGCAGTTTCTTTTAAAAACTTGCAAAGGTCAAATGCCATTCTCCTTTTCATTCTATCCTTTAGTAATGCACCAGGTGTAGAAAATGTGCTTTGCCCATAGCTTTGCCCACACAGTAAGTATTTGGGGAACAAATGTATTCCAAAAGCAACCTATATGATCAGCTTCATGTCCCTGCTCTCTCACTGCCCAGGCTAAGATACCAACTCCACCAACTGGCATGCCTACAAAGGATAACTCCAAAGCTTACTTATACTCCTCCTCTGCCCTATGCCCTTTAGATTTCCCTTAATCTCCTCCTACTTTTCCCCCCTGCCCCTTGGCATATCTCACTATGAGAGAAGGGGACTTTCTCCAATAGATTTTCCTGTTTAACCTAGTTCAGTCCTTCTGTTCTTTCAAGGCCCAGCTTGAGCGCCACCTCTAAGTTGAAGCTTTCTCAAATTTTTCCAGCTAAAAATGATCCCTCTTCCTCTCAAACCACTCTGATGCATTCACTATATTTTAAGTCATATTAGTGTTCTTGTCTTATCACACTTATTAGACTGAAGCTCCCTGAAGGCATGGACTGTGTCTTTTTCAATGGGGGGGGGGAGAGGAAAGGTGGCAGAGGCAGCAACAGCAATAATAAAAGCAGAAAATAAGACTACTAATAACAACAATGACACTTTCATAATGTTTCAAGGTATAAAGGACAGAATCACACAATTGAGAGTTAGATGGGACCTCAGTAGCCATCTTGTCCAAATACTGCCTGAAAGGAATCCCTTCTATGACATACTTGACAAATGGCCATTCAAAGTCTATTTGAAGACATCTCAAGGCCACCCTTCCACTCTTAGGTAGCTCCAATTACTGGCAAGGTTTTCAGGATATCAAACCTAGACTCTCCTCTCTAGGAACCGTACACATGATTCATACCGTTATAAACATATGGAACCTGAGGCTCGCTGACTAGCCCAGAATCCCACAAATAAAAATCAATGAGGGTGTGCCTTCAAGGTTGGAGGACTCTGCAATAAGCCACGTTGCCTCACTGCGTACCCACAATGCCAAGCACTGTGCCTCAGGAGAGACTTTACAAAATATCTTCTGAAGGGAAATGAGTATCAGGCATTATCCTCATTCTTATCATCCCCATTCATTTACTTCTTAAGTGACTTTTAATTTTTTTCCAAGTCAACAAGTATTAAGTACTTCCTATGTGCCAGGCAGCATACCAAGCAAAGTTTAGCTAAAAGGGTGGCGTTCTTTCCTAAGAGCAGAGGCAGCTGAGCAGTGAGAAAACGTGTATCTAAGATCGATCGACCGATCATCACAGGATCATATGTGACAGGAATCATACCTAGAAAATTAAGTCTTTTCTCATGAGTGAGAAAGAACCAAAGCCCTCACCTTTGCTCTGGGGAGGATTTTGGCTCCTATCCCTCAGGACATTGATTTCATAGACAGCACCATACTGTTCAAATAGTTCCCTCAGATCTTTTTCAGACCAGCTCCTAGGAACCTGACCCACAAACATCTTGATGGCGTCAAGGTCAGGTTGGTCCGGGTGATCCAGTGTTCCATTCATTTTCTTTGAGCTGCATGAGATAAACAGAAGCCTCCATTACACGATCCAATCAGATTTACCTAGAAGACTTTTCTTCTAAGCAAGTACATCACCGAAGTGCCTCATCAGGAACTACGTTAAGTATATTCTGGTACCTTGGATGTACACTTATATACTTCAGAGACCTGGAAGAAATTTTTTACCTTGGATATATGGGGGGACAAGGAACCAGAAAGGTTCCTCTTGCTTATACTGAGCACATCCCCAAGAGCTAATTCAATCAAACAACAATCATTTATTAATCACATAATTATGTGTGTGCCAGGCACTGGGCTGGGAGCTGGGCACACAAAGGCCAAAACAAACACACACACACACACATAAATAAATGAAGCAATCCCTGCTCTCAAGGAGCTTATATTAAGAGGCAAAGGAAGAAGACCAGTCAGGAGCTGTTAGCATCTACTTGGAAATGGAATAATGGAATTAACGTTGCCAAGAGGCCTGAAGTGCTATTTCCCCTCATCATCTACTCCCCCCCCCTCCCCAGCAGTGCTTGTACAGGGAAAGGAAAGTCTACTTGATAAGCATGCTCTGTTCTTTTGCTGTCCCTCCCACCATGGCTTTCCCCTTCTATTGGCTCCTCCAATGAAGTCACCATTCTGTGCTGAGGACACCATGTCTGTTGCCATGGAAATGATAATGCTCTTTTCTGAGCATGAGAATTTCACAGCAGAATCAAATAGACAAGGCTACCCAAAACACAACCACTTTCAAACAAACTTCCAAAGTACTTAATTAATCGAATAAAAATTCCACAAAAACAAGAGTAACTGACTTGCATCAAGGAGAACTTTTAAAACCCTGGACCAAAGACAAGTTCTTGACTTCCTATATGAGTAAAAGGCACAAGTTAAAATATCAACAAAAATGATTAATAATAATCCGAGTAATTCTGAGTCCTGGGGTCACACAGCAGAGGTAGGCTTAGAAGAAAAAAAAATGTAAAAACAAGTATCATCATAATTTAGAGCCAAAAGGGGACTTAGGTCATACAGTTAAACCTCCTCAACTTCCACACTGGTATACTGAAAGTGAGAACGGTGACCAGGCTTGTCCAATGCCACAGAGGAATGGAGGGGCAGATTCCACCAGATCTTTTGACTCCAACTTTCCACTAAAATTCAAGCACAGGCACTAGATGTGAACTTTAAACACTGCACTCTCTGAAATACAAAGTTCCTTCTCTACCATCACTTCAGGCAGATGTATTAATTTTACCATCTCTAGGTTACCTTGAGATTCAGTATCCCCACTTGGTTTTGACATGCTACTCAACCTAGCTCTGTGCTAATGAATCATTTCACCAAAACCCAAACTCCTCCAGGACTCTTGGAGAGCATCTTGAGAGAACTACAGGGCAACACAATTTATCATATTTTTAACCTTTTATTTTCCTTTCTTCTTTATCAATCTTACAGGCTATTTTCTTTTCATTTCCTTTATAGGCAATTAAATTCCAAATCACGTCTTCTACCAACTTATCAAACTTGTCTGAAACTTTTTCACCAATCTATCTGTGAGAGTTTGGTCTTTACCCTCTGGCCTTTAACCATATTCTATAATCCTTCCAATATTAAACTTTTTTTTTTTTTGCTCCTCCAATCATCTCTCCTCTGCCTTGTTTCCTTTTAGCTTCAAGATTTGTTACTTTAAATGAAAATGTTTTAATGCTCCTCTTCAATTTTCTCTCGATTCCACACACTTTAATAGTGGTCATTTCATTGATTAGCATTGTTCTCCAGTCACGAACGACTTTCTAGCTAATTACCTTTTGTAGTCTCAGATTAACCACAAACACTGAGCACATTAATGAAGAGCTCAAATTAGGACATCCTGCAGGTGTCAAAGCCATCGCAGCCATACAACAATTATTAATGCTCCTCTTCCTGCTCTCGATTTTCTGCCCCTAGCCTTCAATTGTCTTTGAACTGTGTGCTGGCCCCTCCCTCTACAGGCACACAGTCCCCTTCCTGCCTGCCAGTCTCTCTTCCTAAAGCCCCTGGGCAAATCTGCATTACATAAAAGTCACTTTTTCCTTAGAGGTCTGCAGAATGGTCCACTAACTTTGTCAAAATTATCTGTATTCTTTTGCTTATCAATGAGGTTCCTAAACTGTGGCACTTTAAAGCAAACTTAACACTCCATGTTTGGTCTAAGACGGAATGCCACAAAAGGGAAGTTATGCCTCTCTTAATACAACCTAAAATTTAATTAGCTTTATTTTTTAACCACATCATATTGTTGACCCATAGAGTCCAAGTCCACTAAAACTCCCAGTTCTTTTTCAAACTATCTTAGCATGTCTTCCCTGTCTCCACCTTGCACTTATGAAACAAAGTTTCTGAATACAAATCTAAGACTTCACATTTATCCTCACATTATTAGATTTGGATCAATATAACCCATCAAGATTTCTTTTTTTGGCTCCTAGCATTGAAAACATAATGCATTTTTGATCTTTACAAAGTGTGAAGTAAAACCCCTTCAGTTCTTTCATCTACAGATTTGGTAAGCGAGCCATTTATACCTTTGTCTAAGTAACTCACAAAGCCATTAACTGACACACATAATCAAGTACCCATTATTTGGGGGCACCTCATTTGGGACCTTCTAACAGGCTGACGTTTAACTACTGACTACCTCTTTGAGTTTGCTCATTCAACCAGCTAGCTGACTCCATCTAACTATCAAATACCCAATATTTTGGCATCTTTTAATTAAAGACTTTGTCAAATGCGTTTCTAAGATCCGAGTAAAGTCTCTCCAGTACTCCCCAAATGCACCAGTTTAGTCATCCTGTCAATAATGGATAAAAAGTCAGTGTGATGTAAGCTGGTTCTACATGTTCTACACTTCCATTCACAGATGTTTGTGTTTGGCACACAGGAAGCGTAAGATAAATGCATGTTGACGGATCAAGAGCCATATTTTTAATCACATTTTAGAATTTTGTCAGGGACATTGGCTAATAATTTGCTGAGTCTATTTTCATCATAAGACTTTGGGATAATTCCCCCCTTTTAATCCTCTCTTGTTATTTGATCCCATCTACAGAAACCTCTATTAAAAGGCAGTCCTGAAACACAAATCCTTTTCACATATCTCCCCAAAATATCTGCTATCCTGGCCGGAGCTTTTAAATTTTCCCTCATAATTAATCTTCCCTAAGACCTGTTTGTTTAAAACTTTAAAAGTTAAAAACTCTACAGATTTTAATTTATTTAATTTTGTGCATGGTTGAAGATAAAAGGTTTAGGTACTAAAGTCCTAAGTTCTATCATATGAGAATGTTAACTGTGTGAAAAAGGGCCTGTGATTAGTCAAACAAAGTACTTCACTACCCAATGCTCAGAACAGGAAGAAAGGGATTTTGTCCTCTGAAAATAAGAGATGGGGCATCGAGATGGAGCAGTGGATAAAGCACCGGCCCTGGAGTCAGGAGGACCTGAGTTCAAATTCAGCCTCAGACACTTGACACTAGCTATGTGACCCTAGGCAAGTCACTAAACTCCAATTACCTCAATTCTCCCCTCCCCCCCAAAAATAAAGAGGGGGCTCTCCCCTTTCTTTCTTTCTTTTCTTTTAAATTTGAGGCATTTGGGGTTAAGTGACTTGCCCAGGGTCACACAGCTAATAAGTGTCAAGCGCTTGGTCTGATGCCGGATTTGAACTCAGGTCCTCCTGACTTCAGGGCTGGTGCTCTATCCACTGCACCATCTAGCTGCCCCCCTTCCCCTTTCTTTTTGATAACTCACCCCTAAAAAAACCTTTATTCTCCATGCTTAAATATAACACAAGAGTAAAGTGTGGCCATATTCCTCCCAACTCACATAGTTGAAATATTTCAAAGAAGAGCGGCAAATTATTAAATCTTAAAGGGACAAAGTTTTAACTAAGGACCAACTTGGGGTTCTAGAACCAAACTGTATGCATGAATGGCATAAGGGTTTTGCAAGGGAGACAGGGAGGCAGGAAGGAGAGAAGAAAAGAGTGTCAATGAAACAGTAAAAACATATGTAGAGAAAAGCAGAAGGAAGTTGAGGTGGGGACGTGGATTTTTTTCTGCAATGCCCGAAAATAAAATTTAGCCCAAGTATATATATAGACCCAAGCTATTTTTTCACCTTGCAAAAATTTGCTCATGGCTTCCTTAACAACAAAGGTAATCAATCTTCACCTAGATCAGGGGTTCTCAACCTGGACTATCTCTCCATAAAACCTGTCTCTTTCTCCCACTGCAGAATCCCTCCTCCGAGGCACAGACTGGCCTTCACTCCCTTCCCACCTCCCACAATTTCATCCTGGAACTTTCCTCTGTGCCTGAGCTCTTCTCACATTCTTGAACTGGGTTATAATAAGGCCTGTCCCCTCAACCCCACTAAAAGCCAACTAGGGCAGGCCTCCATTCTGGTCTTCTTTCCCCTCTCAGTTGTTTCTGGCCTCTTGAGTTCCCCTCTACTCACACACCTTTCTTCCTTCTCACTGTGACCATCACACTCCTCCACACTCAGATTTTCCCCATGCATCGGTCCAACGGCGATGCCTTCATCCCTGCTTTGAAACCTTGGTGAACCCGTTCAACTCTACACTGTGCTCTGCATCTGGATCCCTCGCCCTCTCTTGCTCTTTCGCTGACCACAGCTAGCCCAAACACAACTCTGCATAGCTTATCACCCACCACTTCTCGCCCTTGTTCACATGCTGCTGACTGGAGCCAGAAAACACCACAAAATTGTGCCAAATGGGTTCAATACAAATTTATGTTACATAATATCTACTGGGCAAGGAAATCCTTTTATAACTCTAACTGATTCACTCTCCCACTTACCACAGTAGCTATGCCAAACATTTTCATAAATCCTTGTCTCCCATGGCACCTCTCTCCTATCCTCAGGTAAGGACTTTTCTTCTTACTTCAGTGAAAAAAATGGAGACCAACACTGAAATCTCCCTTTTCCTTCTCTCATC